TGTAATTTCAAACGCTAATATGAAAAAAATGGGCGTTATAAAATATAGGTTTTCGTGATTTCTGTTCTGAAAATAATTGATATGTAATAATATTATGCAAGAAAAAGAATCAAACACCGGCTGTCGAAACAGCGGGAATATCTTGCTTTCGAGCAACTGTTAAGCGGCAACTCGGCAGAGCCTCGTTACCGCAGTAAACATTTAAAATTATGGTTGTTCTGTGCAAATATTAAACATATGATGTAATGCTATGCTGGTGCATTAAGGGACCGTTTTTCACACATTTGTACGTCCTAAACTAGGCAAAAGTGGCGTCCCCATGTCAAACTGTACATTAGTGTTAGCACAAATGGCAATGAATTGCATCGTGTACGTGTAATAAGTTAGAAACTTACATATGTGGGTTCCAGACTCACTAGGTGTTTTCGGTAAATCATTAAAACATAAAGTAAATTTCAGTCATAAACTTACCGACAGCAGCAAACGGTCATAATTTATCCACCGCTTATGCGACGAAATCTCCATCGCCGCTGCGATGAACCCACCTCTTCTGCGAAAGTTATGGCCAGTTTGATAATAATATTTATCATTTTAAATTCTTCAGAAGTGATTGCACAGTCCCGTAGCTAATGTCGAACATCGTTTACAATGTCCGCAGTCAATCGCATGTAACTTTTCAACGTTTCTCTCGGCGATTGACGTCACCAACGTCCTTGATTTTTTTTCTTTCTGTCGATCCCTTATTTTTCTTTTTTTCAATTTCTCAATCACCCTTTCTGTATCATTTGTGTCAATCAAAACTATGCTGTGGTTTTCTTAACTTTTTCCCTTTTACCATGAAACCTTTCTACGTTTTGGACAGTTTCCCGACTTACTATTGACACAATTTCTTATTGATCGAATATCGAGACGTTCCGACGGCATTATTTTAACGCGAGTTTTTCATTAACAAGTGACATATGAATTATGATTGCAACGATAAATGTGGTTTAAATGAAGTAATTCTTAATGACAACGTCACAAATATACGTTTTCATAAATTGCCAATTGTTTGCGCAAATTTATGCACGGCGATATTAAATTAGATATAGCATTAGTTTACAGGTATAGTTTTCCGATTAATTGTGATATATAAAAATAAGTGATAGTTTGAAAATTCTTCAATTGACAGCCTCAGTCCGGTTTATTTTTGATCATCCCTCGTATGTCCTAAATACTTTAAAATATTTTTCAATTCTTTTGTGACATACGTATATATTTATAAAGAGGATTAAGCATATGCACTATTTATAAGTGACATTCAAAGGGACACTGATCATTTCCACTATTCTATAGCCTAGTTTAATCTGGACCATAGCGCTTTATCAGAAATTCGTGCTTAATTTATAGGTGAGGCTTATTATGCTTAGTGTTCTATCCCATGATTCAAATTATCGAATAAATATGTTTCAGTGTTCAATAAATATTTTCAATTATACAATATATTTTTAAATAGAGAATATTATATAGAAATTTATCGCACACAAATATATTTACGATAACAAATATTCTGTAGGATTGAATAAATATTATGGTATAGAATATAAAATAAAAGTTATACAATATAAATATTGGATAAAGACCAAACATTTTGCAACGTTTAACATGCCATAATTTATAAAAATATTACCGAATTTAACATTTCATGAAAATAAATTGAGGTAATAAAAAGTTTATTACTAAAAAGTCTAAGTCAAATTGTTCAATAAAAAAATCAATGCATATATTTGAATGATTACATATAATATGTACAAATATTTGCAGTACATATTTTACATATTCTTTGATGTTTGAAAATTATTTTATAAGCGTAATTATATACATTTAAATAATTTCACCTAACTATTTAAACATACAGGATCTTTAAACACTAAGTTGAGAGTTTTTTTGGATGAACATTTTAACCTGACGATTCCTCCATAAACTTTTTCTTCCCCTCACAGTTCCTTAATTTAAAAAATATCACTTATCCCTCTAAAAAGATAATTATCATTTATTTATTTTCATCTTTTTATAAAAATATTTTATTGTTGTTTTTTTTTTATAACATGATAAGAAGTATTGAAAGTGAATGCAACTTTTCCCCATTGATTTACTACATTTACAAGTTGTACATAGATGTATGAACCAAGAATCTTTTAAGAATTTATGTACAATCATGTATAATCTAATTAAGACTGTTCAAAGTGTAAGACTTGCAGACTATATGATCATAAATTTATCATATGAAAAACACATGGAAGTTTACATACATTTAACATATGAAAACTTATTCATATGAAAAACATGTGATGACCATGAGTGTGGCGCCGTTATATGTCGCAACGCCGCTAAATGTCGCATTTGCCGTTAAATGTCGCACCGTTGCCGCTAAATGTCGCAATCGCCGCTAAATGTCGCAAAATCATTTGCCGTTAAATGTCGCAATGTTAACGTTAAATGTCGCACGAATTTCCCCTACCGTTAAATGTCGCAAGATGTAATTCTATGTTGAACTCGAGATTTATTGTTGTATTATATCAATTAAATCTGCCTACTCAATACGAATTATTATATATATGGAAATGCGCTACAAAATATACAACGATAATACTCATATTATAAATAAATGTATATTGTTTTGCGTTCGATTTTTACCTGATCTTTTACAACTACATATTGATAAATTAATTATACAATTGTTTGTCTACCAGCAAAATTAACATTGTTCTGTAAATAGTTTTGTGCAAAAGAGACAGTCTAACGGCCTGGCTGCCTAAGTTGGCAGAATGATGGCTTAGAATGCTGAGGAGGCAAATCGTCTCGCAGTCGGAAGAGGAAGCCTAAATTGCTGACGACCTGGGCCTTAGGAGTTTGCCTAACGCCCTGGAAGCCTTGTAACACCGCACTTTGCGGTCAAACGCACTTTAAGGTCCGACCCAAAAGTGCTTTACGTACTTTAGGGTCCAGCCCCAAAGTGCATTACGCACTTTGGTGTCAAAGTTTGACCCAAAAGTGCGTTACACAGGTACATATGCATTTTTTGACATCAGACAAACGACCGCACTTTGGGGTCATAAAATTCAATCAATAAGAACGAATTATAGTTATATTCTAAAATAATATCTTGTAGGTGATGCCAATCGTAAAACGAAGTAGGCTAAATATATTACGTTGGCTAACAATAGCAGACGATTGATTATTTTAATTTGTTATATCTAATGGTTTCAATTTTTTTATAATTATGTTTTATATTCAATTAATTTTTTAAATTAATTGTCCCATAGGATATTGGCTTGAAATTTATGAGATATATTGATATGCTTGATAACATACTTAGAACTAGCGATAATTGTAGAAATTGCATGTCATACATATTCCCATCTAATTAAAATCCAGTCCCTTATACGATATGATCCTTTTCACGACCCATTTACTCCATTTCTAGTTACATTAAACGGAGGTTACCTTTCTTGATTACTTATAGTTTTTCCATGTTGTAGAAAAAAGACTTACATTGAAAGGAATTCAGGCTGTGTCAAGCTGTCCTGGAAAAAAACATTTCAGATCACTTCCAAGATGGATGCAATATTATTAGAATTCATCATGCTTAAAAAAAAAATCATAAGTTTATAATCATTTAAATGAAATTCAAGTCCAATTATGACAGGAATTATTTTCAAACTCATATATTTTGTAACTTTCGGAAAAAAGACATATCGTCTCATTTCAAAAGGCAGCGGTTTTAGGTGGTTCGTCAAACAGACACGTTTTTTTTTACCCAAAATAACATGTAAGTTTATTTTGATTCACAATATAAACTGCCCTGTGCTGTAAATCAACGTTTACATCTCAGTTTATTTTGCAATCTCAGGACGGCGTCAAAATGGCCACAAATAAAAAGTATGTCGTTGCGGAAATATTAAAATATATGTAAGAGAACTTTAAATTTATTTACAGTAGCAGTTCCTTTCATAAAATAACATGACTTGTACCTGACAAACGTAAAAATGGGGCCCGAGTGGTTAAGGTCATTGACGTCCAACCACTTGTCCCTAATGCTGTGGGTTCGAATCCCGACAGGGACTTGGATTCTTTCATGTGAGGAAGCTATCAAGCTAGCGTACGGAACGTCGGTGTGAAGTGACCTAAAGTGCGCTGTGAAGTTTACTGCACTTTGGGGTCGACCCAAAGTGCGTTTGAACCCAATGTGCAGTGTAACAGTGCGTTAATATGTAGCATATCAACGCACTTTGGGGTCAATTTCTTGATGTTGACCCCAAAGTGCGTTTGACCGTAAAGTGCACTGTGAAGTTTACCGAACTTTGGGGTCGGACCCCAATCAGGGTTATAAATGAAAAAGGGAGACAAAAGAAAAATACTTATCTATTGAGAATTGAATTTCAAATGTATATTTCTAGAATACGCTTTCTAGCGTCAATATTACATTATATAGCAGCTCAAAACCTGGATATTTAGGTTCATAAAAGAAGAAAACAATTAAATCAAATATACTTTTTGTTAAATGACAATTACAGTAAAAATAACTATGAGGACGTTAAAAAGTAAAAAAATACTACTTTTAATCATGATTTTAATATGAATTTACATCTTGCGACATTTAACGGTAGTGTTGCGACATTTAACGGTAGGGGAAATTCGTGCGACATTTTACGTTAACATTGCGACATTTAACGGCAAATGATTTTGCGACATTTAGCGGCGGTTGCGACATTTAGCGGCAATGGTGCGACATTTAGCGGTAAGTGCGACATTTAGCGGCGTTGCGACATATAACGGCGCCACAATGAGTTTAACATATGTTTGTTGACACATGTTTTTCTTATGGTCCTGTTTAACATATATTAATCCTACATATGAAAAACATATGTTCTTAAACACATATGTTTCAAAACAAATGAAACACATATGTTTTACATATGGAAAACATATGGTGTACCTAACATACAGCAAACATGTGGTGCATTTTTACCAGTGTAACTTTATATGATTTTAGATGAACAGGAAAATCAGTGCGGGTCTCTTATAGAGTTGTGTAGTGTGTATAAGTATTTCTATAATTAAAGCATATATTTAATCGAAGTCAATATTTTCTCTCAAGAGCAATCTTAGCTTCTCATTGTGTGTTTTATAAAAGTCCGATAAAAGTAAGTTTGTCGCGGGCAACATACGACCAGTCATTTCATACTTCTTTATGTTTGTATTTTTCTTTCCAAAAGAACAAATAGTGGTCAAAGTTTCTTCTGATGGTATTTCTGAAATTGTAATTATACATTTATTGATGGTTTCTTGTATGCGTATGTTATATGAAACAATACTTATTGTTATACACTTATATTTATACTATTTCATATTGATAGAACAAAGTACTACAATAATGATTATAAAAAATCCTAAGCTATAGAGTGCACATTCATTTGTGAATCTGATTCAATTTCTATTGGCTATGTTGTTTTCTACTCATTATGAAGACAGTTATTCAAAAATGAGGAGGACCACAATTGATACCAGTCACGATGATTTAATTATTGATAAAATTTAAATTGAGATTAGTTAAATGTTATAAAATATCATAAATTACATGCACTACATACCGATATCTAAAAATCTAAAGACATCTGTTAGAACAGTTTTCATATTGGTAGAAAAATTGTCTGTCTTTACTATCTTAACCTGGCTTCGCGAAAAGACACGCAAGTAGTCTTCTATGTACACATGGTAAATTGAAACCTCCAGTCGAATTCCCTTGTGAAATAATGTTTGGACATTAACAATGATAAACAATTATAAAGATAAATTACAGAAATAATTGTAATCATCTTCATAGAATTTTTTACTTTTCGGACTGATATCTTTTTATGTAAATAATAATTTGTGTATTGATTTACAACTATTACTTTTGCTAAACTTCTTACTCACTTCATAAAAATCGTTGCTTGATTTTAATTCAAAAAACCTAATAAGTCATAAACACAAATCGATTTATTTATTTGCATTGATCTGATAAAAAAGTTTATTGTTTTTTTTAAAAATTGTTAACAATTGTTATTTTCTGAAATACTGAAGATTTTTAATGTCACCGAAAGTTCATATGAGCCGCGCCATTACATAATCAACATAGTGCGTTTGCGAGCAGCATGGAAATAGACCAGCCTGCGCATCCGCGCAGTCTGATCAGGATCTATGCTGTTTGCTATCAGTTTCTCTACTTGTTATAGGGTTTTGAAGCGTACAGCATGGATCCTGATCAGACTGCACGGTTGCGCAGGCTGGTCTGTATCCATGCTGGTCGCAAACGCATTACGTTGTTTTAGTCATGACGCGGCTCATATGTAAATACAACATTTATGACTTATACATTTGTTGTTCAAAAAATAAATAAGCATAAATAAATAAAAAAAAAGATTAAATTTGATTTAAAGTAAATTAACTAAAGACATTAAAATATTTATAAACTTCCACTGTACAACTAATACCATTTTTCTAGCTACATCAAAGTTATTCAAGTTCGTATCAATAAATTTACCCGTGTCCTGTCTGTCACGATAACATGGTTTTTACAATACATAATTATTTGCACAAATTTTAATTTAATATCAATAAACATTTATTTTTGAAATGTACTCAAATAAGATGCACTTGCAAGAGTGTAACATACCAAGACGATAATATGACGTTGTTTATTGTATGTTGGGTTTTATTTGCTAAAATTTCTTTGAGAATTTAAAGTTATCAATGAAAGACGCATCATTTTTTTTTAAAGAAATGAGTATGTGAGTAAGTGTTGTGTAGCATACAGTTTTAAGATCTAAATATAAATGTGACATATAACGTACCTCGTTGACATAAAAATATGAACAGTAACGCAGACAATGTTTCTTTAAACAAAACCAGTGTCTCTGTATGGCGGCTTTGATCTTTGCGTGAAAATCGTCTGCACTTTTTTTCTCCTTTTTTCGAAAATACAAATACTCAGAATAGATTCTGTAAAATAAAAAAAATAGTGTTATTATTGGTATATGGTGTTATATAGGCAATTTTAATAAGTTTAATGTGCAACAAAAATGTAAAGAAATGATAGACACTTCATTATTGTTATTTCCTTTTAAAAATATACTAGAACTATTTTTTCTTCAAAATCACAGAACAATGAACCTTTCAACTGGATGTCTCAACAAAAATATGACTTTTGTGTTTGGATTCAGGTTGTATATGACATCAGCAAGAGTATATGGAGGGTTGGTTCCTTTTTTACCAGTCCAATTCATTAGCAACATTTTGTTGTCCCAATATGTAGCACTGAAGTCACCTAAAAGAATACCGCAGTAATTAAGTGACAATGCATCTATAAGTCTATAAGTTATTAAGGCAAACCAATATTCTTTATTTCGTTTGTTTTTTAATATTATATCGATGGCATAGTGTTATTAGGGGACAAGTGTTACTTAACACTACATAGTATAGGACATGTATCTATCTAGTTCCCGTCATTGTGCATACTGTACGTCACATGACCCATAATGAGGCTTTGACAACCGGTGATAAGTAAAAGTAGAAAATAATTAAATGGAAAAATGGAGATATCTACCACATATCAACTTTTGTTGATAAGTGTATTCAGCATGGCATGCTATGCTTTAAGGGTATAGGTACATCCTTTTAAAATTGAAAAGTTAGTTGAAATTTATACAAAGCTTACAGATAAAAATATATAACAGACATTTTAAAATCATATTAACCATTTATCATTGTCATTCTTGTTAACGAATTACACTGAAAGTAATATTATATTTTTTTATGTTGTGTAAACTCTAGAAAATAACGTAGCTAAGATAAAGTTATTTTGAATTTGAGATTATTATTTTTTTTATTATTATTTTTTTTTCAACAAGCGCTACGACATATCTATAAACAGTAACATTAATATTGATAAAGTCTTTAAGATAATTGGCATTAGGCTTGAGATATCCAAGATTTAACAGTGCTTGTTCTCTTTCAATCTGTTTATGACCTCTTTTTATAATTTACTTCCGTTAAGGACTACGTTTATTTGTTCAGTCATTGTATAAATTGTGTAATTTCAAGTTGAAGATTTGCCCCGATTTCGTAAAGCTGTTCTTTATATATACATGTATGATAAACATGTACTAGTAATACAAGAGATATATGTAAAACTGTATCACCTTACATAATTACATTCGTATTATCAGCTAACACATATTACATATATGACAGTTTAATGTTTACACGATTACATTTTTATACAATGTATCACATAAAGTCGGTTTGTAGCAGTCAAACATATAAAAATAACAGACTGATTTTGCACCCAGATTACATAATTATGTAACAAATATAATAAATGTAACAAATGATAAAGTTGTGTTTACATGATAATATTTTCATTGCAAACATAAAAAAAGTCAATTATAACAATCTGATTTCGCACATAACAAATAATGATAAAGTTGTGTTGACATCATTACAATTTCACTGCAAACATAAAAAGTCGTTTATAGCAGTCTGATTTTGCATCCAGATTACAAAATTATGTAACAAAATCAATAATGATAATGTTGTGTTTACATGATTACATTTTCATTGCAAACGTATAAGCGTCGTTTTTGTTGTGTTTTTTTTTATTGATTAGTTATTGTATCAGTTAATTTCATTCGCATATCTATTTGATATCGAAGCGTTTTAAGAATTCTTAATGTTAAAATTGTCATGAATATTTAGTTGTGTTCCATTTGATAAAGCATTTAATATAACATAAATTTAATAATGCGTAGAAGAAAAATATGAAAATCAAATATCATTTATAACTTTCGCTTTAATTTACATATTTGGTATTTAATTTGTACTTTATAAAATAATAATTATTATTATCGTTATCATTATCAAAATAAAGAAAAATTTACTTTATTTAAAACAAATCTGGAAATGAGATGATCATTCGAAAGCAATTGAACAACAATATTATAAATTATGAAAATTGCAGACTCGGTTTGATTGTTTCTGTTCGTGACAGAATTTGTAAAAGTACAATATCTTTAATGCCTCCCCAGCAAAAGCTCAAAGGGTATTTTATATTCAAAGCGGTATTCAATTTTCAACACTAACACTTAATATTAATAGACAATTTAGTAGAACGTAGACATTTAATTTCATTCTAATAGGCTTTAAAGTCCGGAAATAAACGGGTTAAACATGAAAAGTGTTTGACAACAAAATATTTACAAAATTTATTTTTATTAAATTTTAATTTCATGGCGCATTATTTTTTAAAAGTTAACAATTTTGTCTTCTATTCATAACTGCTGAATTTCATATTTGTACAAATGATTAAGTGACAGAAAAATCAAACGAAAAATATATATTGAATTAAAGTTGAACGCCGCCTTTCCTTGTTCATCTTTTTGTATCATATTTTGTGAATTTCTGAAGTTATAATCGTGAATTCGTTTAGCTTAAATAGTGAACTCGTGAAGTTGAAATCATGAGCTCATGTACATGACTTTTTGAACTTTATATCGTGAATTATTTTCAAATTGTTCAATGAACAAAAAGGTCGTAAGTTTTGAAGGTTTGCCAATAAAGGGTTTAATGTGTTTATATATCAAATACATTCTTATGTGCAATTGAATAACTGTTGATTATACTTTTTGTTCTCTTAAACTTTATGCGTATACGATATGTTGCTGAGACAATTACATCAAAACATTGTTAATAGCATACCATAAATTCCGTTGAAGGTTCCATCTGTTTGATTTGAGTTTAAGACATCTTCTTTAACTGCACGAGTGTATAAGTTAAGATACTTTGAAAGAGGTTCTGATTTTACTGTAAAATTCATAAGAATATTCTGCTTATCGTGTAAACTGTAAAAGTAGTGCTTTTATGACATTATATTTATGTCTCTATGTGTGACTGTTAATGCTTATAACTGAAAATGCTACAAATAAATATTCGAATAACACATTATTTGTAACATTCATTTTATTAAGACTTAACTATTGCATTTCATATTATGTGATAAAGAGACACAATATAGTCTTAACATCACTGGTTGAAGGGAAAGTGACTTTTACATAATATTTTGTTATTTTGATTGTTTTAGAATTGCTAATAATATGGTCAACTACCAATGTAAAATGTTTGTTTATTTCAAACTCGGTTATCTATATAGAACAAAAAAGGTATTGCTTTTAATCTAAAAAAGGTGGATATGCATGTAGATGATTTATGATATTGCAAATTTGAATTGCGAGGTGCTCTTTTCAACCAATTTCTTTACGGTCGTTGGCGATTTTCTTCATTTATGCTATATTAAAGTCGAACAAGTTACTAAAACTAATAATTCCTTTACATTTTGGTTTTGATGGTAACAAAAATCTTATCTAAATGTTTCTTACTTAATTAAATGAGTGCAATGTATTTACCAATGCTATAAATCTTATTCTAGAAAACCAGTGAGTCTCTTTCTTTGATTTATTTGAAATCGATGAATGATAGGTTATTCGACTGTGAAAATCCGTTGTTCCGCATTTTGGCATGCCTATCAGATAGAAATACGGTAAACATCTTATATCTGTCTTCGAATCATACACATTCCTTTCAATCCAGCAAGGGCATTTGAAGCGTTTGAGAAATGGGGAAAGATTCTGCAAACAGATTGTATCTTTCAATTTTAATACCCTCTAGTCTTGAAAGTATCATTCTATTTAAATACAACTACCATACTTTTCAAAACTGACACAAACTGATATTACTTGTTGATGTGGTATAAACTAACAAACAAGACTAACAATTGCCTATATCTTTGTTAAAATAATTCAATTTTGATATCCTGGCAAAGTACTTTTCAGAAACATAATATTGTTTTTCCCTATTTTCTCTATATTGAATTGTGTTGTTTTGTCTGATTTATTTATAGTGTGCTAATTTGTACTTGAATGATACCAGTAACCTTATATTGAAAAATAAAACACATAACTTGTTTTCTCTCTTCTTCTTCTTTTTTTGTTATAGAGAGATGGTGGTGCTATGTCACACAAATACAGTACAGTACGTAATGCGATTTTCAAGCTTTACTGCTGGAGATAGACCTCCGCCTGAACGGGCAACTCAACAACAATTTTCTACGGACGTTCCGTTAACTAGCTGAATAGCTCCCTTACATGACGGAAACCGAAAGGCCTATCGTGATTATATTGAAAAACCATCGATCTTAACAATTTTGCCACAGACGCATCAAATATTCTAATAATAAGAACGTGTAAAACGTACCGTTTTTTCAGGTACTGTGTCTATTCTGTAAATTGAACCTTCTAACATCTGATCCCAATGTTTTATTGGTTCTTCTTTTGGAAAACTCTTCAAATGAGTTCCTTAAATATAAATACGTACATTTATTATTGACAACTCCTCGGAGTCATTGATTTATATCATTAGGCGCTAAGGATTGATTAACGTGTAAGCATTTGCCAGAACTGTTGCAAGTACAAAAATCTCACAAATTGACAATGTCTACAATTTTCACCTTTTTAAATAATAGTTTAACTATGCTCCAGCCCAAGGGATATTCCTATTCAGACTGTTCTAAAATATAGTGTTGTTCTGTGATAAAGAAAATGTATATTTATAGATGCCTAATTAACAATATTGCTGTTTAGGATAAGCATAGCACTTTAACACATTTTTTTTCTCTTTTAATATTTCGTTCTGTTTAAACACATTTATTCCCAAAACTTAAACAAATAAACAGCAAACACAATATGTTTACATTCTGAAAAAGAATGAAAACGAAAAAAAAACGAGTTTATAGAATTATTTTCCTATAAATTAATGTTATCAGAAAACGGAAAGTATGAACATACACATAGAGAGAAGTTTTACATCTATCATGCCTTTATGAATCATAGAGATGCATAATAAAAAACTATGAAGTGAAAACAGCGGCATGATGATCAAGAGAACGGTGAAAGAAAATACCAAAACGTAATACAAATGTATGTTAATATTACAAAATGGGAAAATAATGGAAAACAGTTAAAAACATGACAATTTAATTTTAGAATAAAGTGTTTCGTGCTAACGCCGCTTAAATAATTGAAATGACATGCGTCAATTCTTCAAAAAAATATAGTTCCGAGAGTTATCCAAGTGAAATTCCATATCAGAGCAATTAAACTCACACATATGTTATTGCAATAGACAGCATATTGGCATAAGCCCCAAATGATTAATGAATAAATCATTTATATTCTTAAAGTGTATTCTTTCATATACATATTAGAAATGAAACATACTTTTTAAACAAATTAAAACTCAAAGCAATATATTTGTTCGGACAGATAAGTGTCGCATTTGTTCGGACAGTTACGTAAGAAAGAAAGTCTTTATTGTGATGCATTTCGATATGTATTAAATACATTTTCTACAGTTTTATGAAAGTTAAATCCTTTCATATAATTTTCTAAATTTTATGTATGATCAGTAAAATTTAATGGCGAATTCTTCTTCTTCTTCTTCTAGTTTATGCTTAATGAGGGTCCATCCGCCCTTTCGGGCACAAAATGCAGCTAACGCTGTCGAGTACGGACCCCGAACATGTCACCAGTCATGTCCTTAAAGAGTTAATTTTGAAGCACAAAATGGTGATAATTTACCTCCATGCAATTTCCACGGAGTATTAGCCAAAGATATGAATTTTGAGCCAAAAGTAGGTCACTGTACGGCGGTCAATAAGAACCTAAATGTACAGTAACCTGTGACAATAGGAAAGGTGTTTAGCCCTGAAAAGGGCTGTTGGTGCCAGCTATAGGCCTGCCTTACAAGCCGTCTATCTGTACTAGGGGCTCACGCACCCTAGTACACCATCCTCGTCGTCTCAGCCTAATTTGTAGGGCCACTCCCCTCGGCATTAGTCAGGACACCGGCAGCTAACTTAACGAAACAGCAGCCTTAAACGATTATAACTCGAATCTTCCATCATCTGCCGATGCCCTGTGCCTTCTCAGCGACGTGCACGCTCCGAGGGGAAGTGAGAAGAATGGCGAA